ACCACTTCCTGCAGTACCGCCTCCACTACCCGCAGCTGGCCGCCCTATTCCCCATAGACTGGTCGTTACGGAGAATTCATCCTGATCCGCAGCCTTGTTCCCAGGATCTCCGTCCTCACCACTTTTGCCGTCCTTTCCCGCCTGACCGGGGTCTCCGCCTGTACCGATACGGCCTGTCTGCTCCGGATTTGGGTTCGGTTTTGGTTTGGGTGGATTGAGAGGAGGGGGGTCATCCGGACTGCCGCCATCGACGACGGCATCGCCTGAACATTTGGTGAATGGGGAGACAGGGAAAGGGAAGGAAGAAGTATGATGAAACTGAAGTTATGTTTCGGATGGTTTTGCCCACGGTCGGTTGGGCACATGGTCCGCCGCTGGATGGTTAGCCACGGTGCGAACGGTGGTTGGCTGGTGCCACCCCGGGAAAAGACTCTGTCTCTCCCACAACACAACACACAACACAACACACACAGTGTCTGTGTGTGTCACTGTCTATCAACGTCTACGACACCCGCGGCGGACCCGTTGCTCGGCCGATCGCTCTGCCTCTGACGCTGTCTGCCTCATTCGACGTTTGGTTTCTCTCTGCCTCTCTCCGTGGTGTCTCTCTCTCTCTCCGCAAATTGTGTGTTGTTTTTTGTTCTACAATTATAATATTGATCGTAGGGTATGTGTACCCTGCTGCGCAGTCATAGGAAAGATTCGAGTACCGTGTACATTTGTGTCCCCGCTGGGAGCACTGTCTCGTTTAGTATTTTTTGTGTTCTCCACAGTTTTCGGGGTGGTCTTTGCTCTTTCCGCCTGTTCTGCGCGTTCCTGCAGAAATTTACATGGTGCTTCCGCCCCATAAGTGTAAGTAACAGGCGTAATACTAACACTTGAAGCACCGGAGGATATTACAGTAGTGCTCTGTGGAGCGGAGTCCGTGTGTTCACATATGCTCTTATAGTCTTCAACCGCGGACGATCCCGGTTGTCGTGGTTCTGGCGTGGGCGAAGGTAGTGTTGGTGGTATTGTGTGTGTGGATCCCAGGGGTGTGCATATAATTATGAATCCTCCTTTTTTTTTTTAATCATGGTACACTGACCCTCGCGTTCTTATATGCCTCGCCCTCAGTCTTCTTTCATCTTACCTTTACTATCTGGAGCTTGTGCAGCAGCTGCCCCTGATGCGGGATCCTCTTGTGGTCCGGTTGGACCTGCTTCACCCTTTGCTCCTTTTTTCCCGTCTTCTCCTGCCGGTGGTGATGCTGGTGCCTGCTCTGGAGATGCCGGTGCTTGTGGTTTCGTGGCCGCGGGCTTGGGGGCCGCCGGTCCTCCAGCGCCTGCAAAAAGGAGAACGGCAGAAAGATGGTAGACAGATGATAAAAACAAAAAGGACACAAGTGGTACAGAAAGAAGGGGCCGGGACGGTGCGGTCAGGCGGCGGCCGCAAGCGGACGGTGTTAGAAGAAGAAGAAAGAAAAGAAAACGAAAGGAAGGAAATGGTCGGTGTGGTGTGGTACGGTCGGGTCGACTCGGTGGACTGCGCACGCGGTGAACTTGGGCTAGATGGTAGCCGTACAACTTTTATTTGTTGTTGCCGTCATCTCGGTCGCTCCCGTCGCTACTCGTATGCGTTCGCTGCGCCACCGCTCAACGTCAACGCAGTGTTGCGGCGCTCGTGCGTGTTGTGGTGGCGGCATCCATGCGCTGTCGTATGCATGTGCATACTCGTATTCGTAGTTGTATGGGCCGTAGTCGTATTCTTACCTGTCCTTTCCTTCATGTCCTTTTGGGCGTTCTGCTGCTCTTCCTCTTCCTCGTCCGCAGAGTCAACATCACTATCCCGGAGGTCTCGGGATCCCCCTGTTGTATTTCGTGCCCTCTGCACCTTCTTTTGTACTGTGTTCCTAATTTTCGTAAACACTTCTTGTACCTGCTTTTTCACTAAACGTTGCATGTCCTCCTCTTTAAACATACTGGAACTATCTTCAGCTTCTCCTTTGGCTTCCATTTCTTTCTTGTAGATTTTCCATTTTATGTTGCATTTGGGGTTCTTCTGTATTGCGTTTATACGAGCACTTATCGTTGTACTTTGCTGTAACCAGTTTTTTACCGCCCCCTGTAAATCCGCTGTTCCTACCTTTGTATCCTTGTACTCATCCAGCGTACATGTGCCACGTGAAATTGGATTCACTACCCCACCCGTGTCTCCCATGCTTCTCATGATGTACCATGCCTGGTCTGGTCCTAGCCACTGAAATCCACACGGTATTTCAGCCAATATATACGCAAAAACATTGGCCACGATGCACCTCATAATAGCCTTCATGTCCTTATCATTGTCTAAGTTGGCTTTAGTATGTGTCATATGATTTCTCCAGTCACTTGCGAACAATAATGCTCCAACCATCAGTCTGCATTTCATTACATCCCCAACTGTCTGTCCGGTGTACAAGTTTCCCTGATGCGTGTGTCCTCTACGCGTCCAACCTGCGTGCTCACAGCTTATGGCATACATATCTAAGCGGGGCTCTATCCGTTCCATGTGGTCCACAAAATCGTTTAATACACGTTGCATATCTGCCCATAATGCACGCTACGAAATATATACATAGAGAAAATGATTAATGTATAACAATATATCAACTCTATAGGACTGTAGCTCCCTGTCCGTATGTGTTACGGCACATATATGTACGAACACTAGTTTACGCCGCCCTTCTTCGCTGTGTCGTGCAATCCCTTGTTCTGAGTGAACACTTACATCAACCTGTGCCTGTGTCCATAGTCCACTTTTCCGTACCCACGCGGCCATTACATGTACTAAGTGCCCGGCCATGGTGCATTACGTGCCATAATACAGGATACGAATGCTGTCTGAGAATATTATGCACATTATTAATATTCCGTCCTCATGCCATGCACACTGCGGCCTCATGAATATTCTTATTATTATATGAGTAGCGGGAATCCGATCACACATATAATTTATATAAGGCAAATGCACAATACGGCATTGCACAGTACACAAACTGTTTACACTATTCTGATATTGTGTAGGCGAGAATAATATGCACAGAAAAAAACCGGAGAACAAAAATGAAGAGAAAGAAAAAGAGAAAAACAAGAACAAAAGCAAGTCAACGGAAAACAACCTATGCAACATAATAGCTATATATCCTGCCGTTTTCCGTGCCTGCATAAATTATGTCTTTGAACAATATATTACGAAAAGAAATATATATACATGTCGCCAAGTTACTGCACGAATACATCCCCGGAACCAGTGCTGCGTAAGCCAGAGGAAAAGACGCGCAGGAAGAGAAGCAAAACAGCAGTCACTACAAATTCATAACAGCATCCTGTATACAACACAGAGAAGACTCTCTCTATCTTTTGCACACATGAAAAATCTCCCCAAGTAAAGTAGAAAAAACAGAGAAAGAGAAAAATAAACAGAAAAAAAGACATAGAAGAAAAAAATAGGAAAAACACTACACTACTACCTACACACACAACGCGACATGAATACACCACCCCCGCCCCCCTTACTCACTAAACGCCTTCACACACTGTCTCTCTGTGCGTACCGCTAAAACCCGCAGTATAACAACACAGTAACAACAACATCAATGCGGCTGACGTCGTTGCCGTGGCCGAGTGTAAGAAAGGAGGGAGAGATTGTCTCTCCGAGCAAACGCGGCAGGGTAAACCGCATTGTAGACGAGTGTAAGAAAGGACGGAGAGATTGTCTCTCCGACTAAAGCGGTTCGAGTGAAGGGGTTCGAGGGACGCATTCGAGTAAGGCTTTCGCGGGACGGATTCGAGGGAGGGAGCAGAGACAAAGGCGCGGGAAGAGAGCGGGGGAACAGTGCGAGGGAGGTGCGGAGCAAGGAACACACATATTATGTGCGGCAGCAACCACGAGGTAAGTAAGGCAGCAACGACGGCAACGACGGAAGGAGAAATTGATGTTTTGTTATACTGCGGTTTGTAGTGGACACGGGGTTTGGTGTACGCACACAGAGAGACACCGTGTGTGAAGGCGTTTAGTGGAGCCCGGTGTAGACAGGCGGGCGCGGGTGTATATTCATGACGTTGTCCAGTATTGTCCTGGTGTTTCCTTTGTTTTTTTTTTTTTTTTTCTCGGCTGTTCTTCCTTGTTTTTTCTTCTTCATAGGGGGGAGATTGTGTCTGTGTGGAATAGCGAGAGTCTTCTCGAGATTGTGTATAGTATGTTGTTATGCATTTGTAGAGGTAAGATGTGTGTCGTGAAATTGTTTCTTTTTTTTTTTTTTTAATGTAATTTATTTCTAACTTATTTTTGTTGTTCTTTTTACTCGTATTTATTATTTTTCGTTGTGCTGCTCCGCGTTCTGTATATAAGGATAAGGAGTACATATGTAGGTATACGTTATATGAATTAAGGCATACATATCCCCTTTTAACGTGTATGTTTGAAATCCTGTCCTTAGAATGTTATTGTGTACTGGATATACAGGAGTACATTGGATACGTAGAAGTTGTACGTAATGCATTTGTGAAACATATGTAGACGGGTACGCGCATTCTGAAAGGCATGATGTTTTATATGTTGTTAAGCTAGGAAAATAATGGCTCAAGATTTAGCGAGTATATTGAGAAGATACGCAGAGGAGAGGAAGATAAAGGGACCTGATGAGCTTTATCAGGTAATTTCATATACATACAAGCCGCGTGAGGCGGTGTGCACACGGCAGCACATATGTGTGCATAAGAGCAACATACTAGAGGGCAGCAGCATGTCGGACATGTGCGTGCTTCATATGTACCGCATACGGCACATTTACATGTAACAGGCAGGAAGGGCTAATTATAATTACATGATTGCAACGGTTGGTGTATAACAGTGTGCGACCACATAGATATATGTGCATGGTGGTAAACACAGGGTAAATTATGGGAAGATATAAAAAGACAAATGGGGCTTTTTATTACGCATATGCACGCTGACAGTGAGTACGACAATGCTATTAACTGTGAGAATGCATACTGGGAGCATCCAGCAGAACATGCGACAAGCGGGCAGTCACCACGGAAGATGGATCGGAGCACAGAAAGAGTTATATGCAGACTCATGACGCAAGCGATATATTTTGCAAATGCGTGGAGTCAAGACATAAGGAACAACGCAGAGGACAACGAGGGGAAGGATACGGAGATAAAGGGAATCATGAGATGCACAATAGCGGATATATACCAAGACATACTGAGGACATATGGATGCGAGGGTTGGTGGGGCACATATTATGCATGGTACACCACACAAATAATGGGAACTGTGTTAGAAAATCAATTGGGGGAAAACCATTGTAAGCGCGGTATGTATAAGGAAATCGAATTAGGGCACTGGCCCATGAGGAATAAGATGAAGACATGGCTAGAGCAGGATGCAAGCATGCAGAAGAAACTTGCACAGGAACAAATAGGCGATGACTGTAAGGGAGCAAAGGTAAAGCTAGAGGTCGGACCGAGAGAGGAGGAACAAGAAAAGACAGAAGACAACAAGACGAAAGATGCAGTACAGCAGCACGTAAGACAAATTTTGGGCAACCTGAAGCACGCAATGAAGCAGGAGGAGGACCGATTAAAGGCGTCCCGTGCGCCAGCACCCACGTACCCTTCTGGGGCAGAGGCACACGATCAAAAGGCTGCCGCGATAGAGGCACAAATGAACAAAGCAATCGAGCACGTGAAAGACAAAATAAAGGAAGTGATCGCGAAGAATGCCTCTGCACAAGCAGCCGCCGCAGCCAAAGCAGCAGCGGCGACACCGGCATCAACAGGGGTAGGAACGACACCGGCAGGTAAGGACCGATGGGAGACAGCACGACCACGTCGGCAAACAATGAACAAGCAGGTAACACCGATGGGAGAAAGAACGAATACGGCCCGAATACGGCACGCACGAATACGGCTCGATACGGCCGCCCCGCCTACGGCCGAATACGGGCGCACATAGATGCCGGCACCACAACAACACGCACACGCGGGGGGCAACAACACAGTGCGGTCATATTCGCTGTCCCACTTCGCTGAACGTACATTTGCCACGCAATGCGCGGCCACGAGTGTAGACGAGGTGTGTGCGCGGTGGCGGCCACGACGGCAGATGACCCACGTCGCTTGAGCGGGGAGCGTGACGCCCACGACCGTATCCGCAGCGGCCTCTGTGTACATGAGGTGTACAGCGTAGCGTGTAGGGGCCACCATGGCAGCGGAAGCAGTAGCGCTAGAGGTAGCGCAGACGACTGTGTAGACGAGATGACGGCGACAACAAATAAAAGTGTACTGCTACCATCCACCACGACTCAGTTCACCGAGTACGCATTCCACCTCACCGTGCGCTTGATTCCACCTCATCCAGCCGACCACAGCCCCACCCTGTCGCTACCTGACCGCACCGTCGCGGCCCCTTCTTTCTGTACCACTGGTGTCCTTGTTGTATCATTTTGTCGTGTTTGTTCCTTGCTTCATTTGCAGCCGCGGAGAAGGAACCGAAGAAAGAGGACGCAGCACCAGCTAAGGTACCAGAGGCACCAAAGGCGCTTCGTCCTGCGCAGACAGGGCCGGCAACAGTGAATGGGGCAGAGGGCGTGGCCAGGTCCGATGAGTCCGCACCGGGATCCATACCACAACCCCCACCTGCGGCACCTGCAACAGCACAGGACACTGTGGGCACGGGAACAGGCACAGGATCCTCTGGCGCGCCCAATTCTCAGAAGGCACATGCAGGTAACACTTCTACGGCGGACTGTGGTGCAACTACGACGTCACATGTGAGCACCCACGGAGAAGTTACTGTCCGCACAGAAATTAGCTTTGCACCTTCTTCTTCATCTGAGTGCTCAGGTAAGGAGGACTGTATCCTCTAAGATGAGTACCGTGCACTAGGGTACACATGCAACGAACACGTTCAATACGCACAACACAAAAACTTTTCCGCGGAGACAGAGGGCCAGACACCACAGAGACAGGGGCAGAGAGAAACCAAACGTCGAATGATAATGAAAGGGGGCAACAGCGATGGGTCGGCCGAGGAACGGGTCGGCCGCTGGATGTAGACCTCGACGTAGACGTCGACAGGTAGACGTCGACAGACGTCGACACACACACTGTGTGTGTGTTGTGTGTGTTGTGTGTTGTGTGGGTGCGACAGAGAGCGAGCCTTTTCCCGGGGTGGCAAGTGCCAACCACCGTTCGCACTGTGGCACCAATGGTGCCGACCATCAGCGATCATCCCACAACCACCTGCAAAACTTCAGTTTCATCATACTTCTTCCGTCCCTGCCTCTTCACTTCGACTTATAGGTAAGGATGGTGCAAATGGTCCGGGCTCGTCAGGATCCCCATCTGCACCCGCAGAAGCAGCACCGACGGCAGCAGACCCAGCAAAAGCAGCACCAGAAGCAACACCAAAAGGCACATCCGGCGACTCGGGCACACCCAGCCCCGCGGGGCCAGGCAGTCCGACGACTTCACAAGGTACTCTTGGTGAAAAAGATGCACGAGGTGGAGCAGGTGAAACGGGTGAAACAGGTGCAGCCGGTGAAGCCGGTAACACCGTGCCCTCCGTCGCGGAAGGTGGTAAAGATGACCCCCCTCTTCTCAATCCACCCAAACCCAAACCGAACCCGAACCCAAATCAATCGGGTAGTAGTGGCAGTTTCAGTGATGCCGATTTGGCCGATGGAGTTTCTGGTGGGGAAGGAAAAGGCGGAGGTGATAGTGGTGGTGTTAATGGTGGTGTCAGTGCTGGTGGTAGTGGTGCAGGTGCTGGAGTTGGTGGAGCAGGTGGTTCCCCTCCTTCCAGTGGCCCCAGTCCAGACACCAAAGACCAACCTCTTCCTATCCTCCCCCCTACCTCGAAACCCTTCGACCCTCGAGGCCTTATCCCGTACACCCCCGCGATCATTCCAGCGGTTGTTGGTATTGGGGTCATTGCGTTCTTCCTATGGAAAGTAAGCACACACACAAGCGCACACACAACGCGCACACACACACACCACGCACGCACAAATATAACCGAGTGGAAAATGGAAACACCCCCGTTGGCATTCCCGCACTTCTCCATCCACTGTTCCCAAAAGGAACTATAAGCAACTTACTATTGGGGAAGTTACTCCAACAAGAAAAAAAAAAAACACGATACTAATTTTAAGGAAAAAAATCCTATTAGAGACATATGTCCCTACATGTCCCTACATTGTACATGTGAGGCAACTCATGTTGGACTTGTGGGATACATACATTAGATACTTGGGCACACAACGGCTTCATATGTATAATACTAGTATAATATTCATATACCCCCATATTTATAATGGTCAGTGGTGTATTACTTAAAAAAAAAAAAAAAAAACATAGCCCTAAAATCTTAAGCCCCCTAAAACTTCTTAACCTGCGAACCATAAAACCCTTAAACTTGAATCCGGAATACTAAACTTCGCACTTATAGAAACTTCAGTCCTAAACGCCTTAAATGGCGTAAAATCCGGAACATTGATCCATAAACCTTAAAGTCTAAACCTGCTAAAACGTAGAATCCTGAACCCGGAACACTAAACCCTGTAGACAGATAAACATGACCAATTTGTTCATTTCCTTTCACTTGATCGCGCAGAAAAATTCACCCTTTTTTCGCAAGCTAAAACGTGAGCCAAGATAGAGCGGCAACATCTGTTTGAACAATCTTAACAGTAGTATGTATATATTTTTCTGTTTCTATGACATTTCTAGCTATTGAAAAAAAAAAATTTAAATGGACAAATTGTTTCCTAAGAATAGATTAAGCATTCATTGGTACTTTCAATGAGTACCTTGTGCGGCACCGTTCCTTCTCATTTGGTAGTATGAAATAAAGCATATTTATAATTATTTTTTAGTAAGTACACGAGCAAAATTTGAAATAATATTGCTCCTTCAAAATTTCATTAACCGTGTGATGTACTGAATATTTAAAAAATTTACTTGTTCAAGTTTTACACCTACACAGGCAGGTGCAGAAAATTAGTATTGTGGTAAAGCAGATATTCTGGTGTATCGAAAAAATAAGCACTGTGTAAAAAAGGCGCCTTAAAATAAGAGACATGTACGAAAAACATTTCAAAACGTACAGGGGTTCTATTCATATTTCGCATAATGAACAGCACTTTTCTTCTGTATCAATGCTGATCTGTGTCAGGTTGCCTCGTGCGGAAATTTTCACATTTGTGTTTGAATCTTGTGCCTTCTCCGCCTAATTTTTTTCCTGACAAATATTTGATTAAAATGTGATACAAATGAATAATTTATATATGCACATGTATTAAATATTGAAAATTTGTGGCTTTCATAAGAGAAATAATTGTATAGATTAACATTAATACAGATGTGTCTTTTGATTGAACTATATATATATGTATTAATAAATGGATATTTCTTAGGATAAAATTTAAAAATATGTTGAGAACTTACTGGAAAATATTTATATATTAGGAAAAAATGTGTATTAATACATTGAAAAGTGTGAATAACTGTAAAAGATACTTAGAATAGGTCATTTGGATTGTATCGTTTTTTAATATTCTATAAATGAGTAATTAGCTATAAGTTATATTCATAAATTTAGTCATCTAGGTGTCTTTCTTTTTTATCATAATATTATGCTGTAGTAATTTCGGTTATTTATAATGGCCATCGTATTGATTATTCATACTTTTCATTTAATAAATACAATACATCCGTTTTCGTATTATGTGTTGTGCATTGTACACAAACTAAGGAATATAGTCCTTATCCTGTGCATGCGCCCACTGTCATGCAAAGTACAACTGCAACAACAGTTATTGGTATCGTCAGTAAAACGAAGGATACCAATGCTATACCATGCTATTATAACCCCATACACATCGATACCATTGGGTTTACATATGGCGCCCTGAATCCCGTATACCCGGTTAATGGTGAATAAGCACAAGGAGCATGGCCAAGGGCAGCGTAAATAGCACCATCAAGTACTGTCCCTACTGTCGGTACTACCGGTACTGCCGAGTACGCTGGTGAAACAATTGGTGTATGATGATGATGTGAATGGTAAGTCACGTGACTCCTGCAGGGAGGAATATAGAGGGGGAAAATGGTAGGTTATGCATGCAGTTGTTATTCGGCGGTACATATAAAGTTGTACATCAAGCATAAGGGAATATGATACTGTGTGATGGTGTATTCTATTTAACCTGTGACATCGATCAAATGGCCAATGGTGTCCTGAATTACGTATATATGTATTAATGGAATGGGGATTTCTTGATCCACAACCTTCCACAATGGTTTCGGTACAGTGGTTATGAAGGCCAGGTCCATGTAGTAAAGCTAATTGTCTGCTGTTTATTAATTTGTTCCTGGATTTGTCATTTTGTTGACAGGTCCTAGGGTTATAATGTATGCCCTAAAAACAGATAAGAAAAAAGAAACAAGAAGGGCATTTATGCGTTTTTGTAAAAAAAAAAAATAGGCTATTCATGTATGCCTCTTAGTAATGCACACAAATGCTGGTTACATAAAAGGAAATTAGAAAAGAATGTAGAATGCAAAAATAACGGGCTTTTTTTTTTTTTTCATTTTGCATTATTTCTCACATGAATATATACTATTATCCTACATGATTAACATTTTGTAACACACAGATGAAAGAAATAAATAGCAGAAGTTCGAAGCAAAGGAAGAGTATTTTAGTCCTATTACTAGCCGTATATTTCTTCATGTTCTTTATTTTTTTTTGTAATTAACGTTTCTGTTTTTTTGCTTTTAAAAGTTTCAATTGTTTTTTAAGAAATACGAATTTTGTTTTAAAACTTTTTACAGTTGCAATTGAAAGTGATTATAAAATGAAAAGTACACTAGCGCTAGTTTTTTTCTTGATAACAATAAAAATGATATGACATGGTTACTCGTAATCGACAAAAAGAAGAAAGTATTTTGTTAGTAGTAGTCACACTAGAATTACGTACATTACACAAATCAATAGCAACCTCATATATGTTTAGGATATTGTAATTTGTTATAAAATGACACCAACTAAAGTAAAAATAAATACAAGAATAAAAAAGTGATTTTACTATTGTATAATATTTTCCCAAAAAAAATATATTAAGAACAATTTTCGTTATGTTATTTACTAGGGAAAAAGCTTAACGAATGTTGCAAACTGTATGAAGCAAAAGAAAACGGTGAGAACAGTATGAGCATCAAACAGCAATATTACACGGTGGGGGAGGCGCACACATGCATTGTATAATAATATCACCTAATTATGAGTACACATACAGAACGGTGCTCTAAGGAATTATGCGTAGTAATTATTCCAGGGGTGTTAATTTGATCCAAATAAATTAAAGTCTGATGCGCTTGGTTTATTTAATGTATATATATTACAAAAAAAGCATATTGAGCTCCTTGTGTTCATATACACAAAAATGTCCATGTCGAATTGTTAATGCTAATGAAAAAGAACAAATGTGCGAAAGCGGATTAGTCAAAAGGGGGTTTTATTTTTTATAGAATGATATATTATATATAGAATTCTACTAAATTATTTTTGTGTAGGCTACAATAATTTAATAATCATGTTTGAATTTTCCTAGAGTGTACATTACCCTTATCATATCGTACCAGTTACAATTATATCATAAAAAGTATTAATAATTATAAACATATCAATTTTATGCTATCACACCCCTAGCAGCAAACAAAAAAAGAAAAAAAAAGAACAAACAAACAAAAAAAAGGGACACAAATAAAACGTTATGAGGTAATGTTCAGTAACACGGGTACAGCATAATGTTATTATTCACTCTAGCTTTAGATACGGACGAATATTTACACACGAAAAATATAATATACAAGTATAATGAAATTTCTGGAATATATATCCTTGCGCGCACAGGAAACTATATATGTTTATGTGGCAGAGGCCAAACCTTTGCAATTTTACTAATAATTGTAAAAGGTAAATATAATGTACTAGTTATTAAGTTTGAAATGAGTAAAAGTTACGGAATAGCATTTTATTATTGTTCAATTTACCATTCTCGTTCGGCACTACTTTGGCCAATTCTTGTTGACCTGCAATGGAGCAATTCATGTATGAGCAATAATTAGGTAAAGTCAGAAAATTATAGAAATAACATAATTTTTGACCGCACACCAACTTAATTGATCAGCACATGGACACATAATACGCAGAACCACTGGAATAAAGGCTGTCATTTAGGGTGGAAGCTCATGAACCATCATAAAAGTACTAATTTGGCCCTCTTCTTGGCGTTAGACAATACGTCGATAGTAATTTTGAGTTTTTCCATTTTCTGTAATAAATCGTCCGTTTCTGTTTAAAAGGATAAATATGAGCTTAAAACGTCATTAAACTGTGGATATTACACATGGGCACGGACTCATTTACAATTTTGCATTACGTGTGT